AGTGTGAAATATGTTGTGCTTCACAGGATTAGATCTGCCAATCGGGTTCCCATCAATCATACCTCAACCATTATTATAGATTTGGGTTGTTTTCAAGAACATATGTCTCAGACATTATTGTGACATCTGGTAAAGAAGCTGCCAACTCAACTTCAAGGAAAGGAATCATTGTTGAGCTGAAGGATACCTGCAAAGATTTGGATAAGTGAAAAGCTTTATTTTCTTGTGTCTCTTTTCATTTGTGGAATATACTCTGGATTTGTGTGTTTCCACTGTGTGTGTACATTTATTCTATTTCTTTTTGTCAATATTTTGGCTAAAAAGGGGGAGTAAAGTATTATGTTGTGTATGTGTCCTGATGTTACATCACATGTCTTGACATGTTAATTTAGCATTGTGATAGGATTGTGTGCTACTATTTTTTGGAGAATAACTATTTCTGGTTGCTTATGCAATCATTCGGGGGAGAATGATTATTCATGCTTGATTATGGTGAAGTTGTTGCTGCTGCGTCTGTTGTGTCTTCTATTGCATGTGCTCTAATTTGGGGGTTTTCCCTTGAGGGGGAGAACTGATTGTGTATGACAGGGGGAGTAATAGACCTGTCTGATTGTACAAGCTTTTTAACTGTGTTGTATTTTTACAGAGTTTACATGATTTCATGTAACTTGTGTTTGTGGTTTTATTCCTCTCTCTAGATTTTGTGCAAAGGTTGTTTTAGTCAAAATTTGTCAAAGGGGGTATTGCTAGGTCTGTGATTTTATGGTTGACAATAATTTTGGTAAAACAAGTAGTTGGCAACAATTTTATCAAAACATGCTTCATTGGGAAAAACATGTATTACAGCCTAATGTTGAACAATATGTCATAACATCTTGACCAACTGGTACAACAGGGCCTACTGGTACTTATTTGACAGATGTTCTATCAAATGTTGTAACATGTTACAACAAAACATCATGACAGTACATCTGGATAATATCCTTGAAGATTTGATTAAAAAATATGAGATTCTAGAGATTTCTAGTACTTATAACAGGCGTAAGCAATCTTAGGAACAATTGCATATTCAATTTGTTTCATAAAAAGGATCTTTGAGATTTTTTAGGAAATATTTGAAAGATTTGTTTGTTTTTTGTTTCTATTTTTGTGGAGAAGATTCTGCAGGGATTTAGAACTGAAGATTGGATTTGATTGAAGAGTCCAAGCCCAAATGCAGAAGTCTATATAAGCAGACGTCCAAGACCTAATTTTTAAGTAGAATAGTTTTATTGTAAAACCTTGTGAAAAATAAGGGTTTAGGGTTTGAGAGTTCCTTAGTTTCTCTGTGTATCTTTGGTACATCCTCATGTATCTTTTGATGCATTTGAGCCGACTGATTATTACTTGTTTATCAAGTTATTGTTCTCCTATAAGCTTTTAAGCAAAACATTGAGTATTTTTCTTAGTTAAGATTTTAAGAAAACTAAGTATTGTTTATTGGAAGTGTGATATTCTATTTGGTTCCTTTTGATACAGTCACTGGGATTGAGACTATTTGATATCACTGCGGTGATTGAGAGTGAGAGGGATTCTCATATCTAGGAGGTTCCTATGTAGAAGTTGCATTGGGTATAGATTAAGTGAGAAGTTGTAAAGTGGGATTATTTAGGCTTCAAATTGATACTACTAATAGTGTATTTCCCTCCTGGCTTGGTAGCCCCTAGAGTAGGTGAGTTGCACAATTAACAATTGATTGTGTTCTTTAAGTTTCTGCAATTTATCTTTCTACACAATCTTTCTATTTTTAGCAAGTGTATTTTCTGTTAGCATATGTTATAACATCAGCCTTGACATTGTGTGTTATTGAGACATTTGTCTTGACTTATGTTATTGCAATTGTCAAAATTTCACCATGAATTAGATTGTAGAATCTTGGTTTCACTTTGAATATCATGGACATGATCTTTTGACTTTTAATTTAAATTTTGACAATGATCTTGAATTATGGAATTTGATAAATACTTGAATGAATTTTTGAATGATGAATGAACAATGATGTATGGCTTGAAACCTTAATCTTGCATCTTGTACTTGCTATTTGAATACAAAAAAACCATATGAATGGATCTTTCCAAACTTAGAAATTTTTTTTATCATAGGAATATTGATCCTTTTGAACATCTTGAACCAACAATAAATTCACATGAATGAACTATGCCTTGAATACTTGAATGCATACTTCTTCATAAAGAATACAAATTAACTTACAAGCAACAACCAATTGAATAGGCAACAAGACCTTTTTTACAAAGATTTCTCAAACACATCTTCTATGTCATGCTTGATCAATGAACCTCAATCTTTAATTGGATCACAAAAATTCAAGGAGCAATAAATCTCACCTGAGGTCTTGGATCATAGTTTAATCAACAAGAAACATCTTGTCTTGATGAAAACTTCAACCAATCTTTAACCATTTGAGAAGAGCTGACTTGTGGTGCAAGTAATTAGGAGAAATCCTAAAATAATGATGAACTTGCAATAAAGAAAGAATGGTGATCATGGTAGACTTGAGGTAAACACCTAGTCCAATGAACCTTTGTTGAAGAACCATTACCAGTCTTCAAGAACAACATATGAGAAACCCTAATTCTCTTGACCTTGAGTGCATATTGATGAAGAAGGCTTGAGATGTCGAGAGGAACAAAACTCTAGCTCAAGAACACCCTCAATTAAAATCACGATGAAAAATTAAGCATGCAAGTTAAACCCTAAGGCACTTGTTCCTTGAAGAATTTTTTATAAAGATAACTTTGTAGCTTGATGAATCTTGACAAGGAAGATATCTATGATGCTTTTGATCTAGAACCCTAGTTCCACAATCCAAGAGTGATAAATGAACCAGTTGAATCAATTTTGAGTAAGGTAGCAACCTCAATCCATAGGGAAAACCCCTAATGCCAAGAGCCATTTGATCCCATGCTTTAAGAGCTCCAAAGAATGAATAATTTATGATGTAAATGTATATGATGTTATGAATAAACATATTAGGTGTATAAAATAGGGTATGATAGAAGTGACTTAACAACCTCTGCTAAAAATATATTTTTACACTAGTGATTAATGTTGTTGTTGTTGTTGTTATTGTTGTTGTTGTTGTTGCTGTTGTTTTTCGTTGTTTGTTTTGATTGTTATTGTTGAGACCCAAAACCCTCAAGGTTTAATCTTGTTATTATTGTTGTTTAAACTGCGATTGATATTATAGGTTTATTGTTGTAGTTGTTTTACTTCCCAATGTTATGAAAAACTATATGATGTAGTTTATGTTTTTATGATTGATATTGAGATTATTGTTGTTGTTGTTGTTTGAGTTTGAGATTGATATTAAGATTATCATTATTATTGTTTTCATTGTTGTTGTTGTTGTTGTTGTTTGAGTTTGTGATTGATATTGAGATTATTGTTGTTGTTGTTGTTTAAACCGAGATTGATTTTATAGGTTTATTGGTGTAGTTCTTTAGTTGTTTTACTTCCAAAAGTTATGAAAAGCTATATGTTGTAGTTTATGATTTTGTGATTGATATTGAGATTACTATTGTTGTTGTTGTTTTAGTTGTTTGAGTTTGAGATTAATATTGAGATTATGTTTTTGTGATTCTTTGTGCAACTCTCATCTTGTTCCGTTGAACATGTTAAGAGGACTTTATAGTGACATAAAAGAAACTTGAGTTAGTATATCTAATGTCGATTGTTCGTTTCACTAACCTCTGTTTGAACATATATAATATATTAAATTGATTTTGGAAATAACGATATAAAAAATTATGTTGTATTTGAAACACATATTACCCTAATTAATGTTTTTTCTAGAATTTTGTAACTCATCATTCATCTTATGTTCTTTTATGGTTAAAAATCTCTCCAATATTTCTAGTTTTTGTTCAAATTTCTTCCATACTTGTTCATTTTTCAAAGCATCAAATTGTATGCTTTCAAGTATGAATCAATAGAAAAAAAGTGTTGAGTAAAGAATTTAAAACATTGAATTCTAACTATTAAAGAACGCGAGATGAAAAATGAGTTACAAGATGCTCGAAAAATATTTGATTAAAGTAAGTTGTTCTTCAAATATAACAATTATTCATATAATTATTTTGTAAACCAATTTGATAAGTTATATTTTCAGTTGAGGCTTAGTGAAATAAAAAATCCACATTATATATAACAAACTTAACCGTATTTTATCCGTCGGATAAATGGAAAAACCGAGGGGAAAAGGATTTTTGCCATTTAAAAATTCCAAAAAGGATCTTCTCGAAAATCGGACCATGAACTTTACACATTACCCGTCAGTGAAACTAAAACTGAGAGGTAAAGTAACACACCTTTTATGACGCCTTTTGTTACCATACATTTGAAATCGAGGTAACACGTCATATTCAACCGAGATTAAATGTGTTTTTCGCAGTAGTGTGCATCCACAAAACCTTCATCCAAGATTTGCATAAGTCCATGTAGTCACCAATAGTAAATTAGTGTCACACTAAGATCTTCTTCTTTATCTTTGTAGACTGGACTAGTTACAGAAAATAGGGAGTTAGACATGATTGAATAGAAAATTGAAGGAGGTAAAAGAAAATATGAAGGAGAATGATAAAAATAATTGAAAATAAGAGTATAAAAAGTAATGCAAACAAGATTTTAAGGTTTGAAAAGATGAATGTCAGTCACATTGGTATTTTATGGTTTTTCGATTTCAAATTGAGAAAATAATGTTTTAGTTTTATAATTTGTTTATTTGTGTTTTAATTCAGTTTTTTTAAATAGAATTATTTGTATTGTTTAATAGAGTATATAGAGTAGAAATATGTAAATACAATATGTTGGAAAAAGTAGAGTGAGTTAAGATATTTGTAACAAAATTGATGATGAAAAATATACACTGAGCGCTTCATGATCCATCTCATCACCTTCCGCCCCCAAATCAAGAAACCCAAGGAAAACGCTTCAGAGAAGCCTCACGTTTCTTTTCATCCATAAAGCTTCCAAGAAGCTTCTCATCATCCTTAAGATCGCTTCAGAGAAACTGTCATCCACCATTAAGAAAGCTTCAGAGAAGCTTCTACAGTGGTAATTCAGTCATCTGCTTCAAGCTTCGGAGAAGCTTTGCGTTATTTCTCATCTTCTCTGGTAACCTTCGGCGCTTCAATCAATTCAGGAAGAATCAACGACAACATGAATCCATCGTCGCCACCGCGTTCAGCCACACCAAACTCTCCTCGAACCTTGGAAACCCTAAATTCACTATCCACCCGCTCAAATTCCTCCGGTAGCAATGCCTTTGGACCCAAAGTGTCCATCAAGCTCAATGACAACAATTTCCTTCTCTGGAATCAACAGGTCGTATGAGTTATTCTCACCAACAGATTGCATCAATTCGTGGTGAGTCCTCAAATCCCCAACAAGTTCAATTCGGATCTTGATCGTCAAAATGGTGTCACCTCCGACGAGTACGAAGCTTGGATCATACAAGATCAAGCTCTGTTTATCTGGCTTCTATTCACCATCTCTAAATCAGTCCTTCCCCGAGTTCTCTCGTGTAAACACTTGTTTGAAGTTTGGGACAGAGTTCACAAGCACTTCAATGTGATGATGAAGGCTAAGGTTTGTCAATTGCACTCTAAACTCAAGACTACAAAGAAGGCGAATCGAACGTTGTCTGAATATGTCCTCAAAATCAAGTCAATTGCAGATTCTCTATTTGCTGTAGGTGATATCATCACATAAGAGGCACAAATTGATGCTATCTTGGATGGTCTTCCTGAAGAATACAACCCAGTTGTCATGCAAATGTTTGGTAAATCTAGTGAACTTGATCTTTATGATGTTGAAGCATTACTATATGTTCAGGAGGCGCAGTTAGATAAGTTTAGACAAGAACTCTCTTTATCAACTGTTTCTGCAAATCTAGCGGTTTCCAATTCCAAACAATCTGCATCGATGAATAGAGGGACCCTCATGCCAGAGGTCGAGGGTATACACCTCATGGACGAGAAACAGGGTCCGTGGAAACTCGTCTAGATCTGGGAATAGGCCAACTTGCCAACTTTGTGGCAAGTATGGTCATGCTGTACTAGACTGCTGTCATCGGTTTGATGAAGGGTTTGTTCCATCCAAGAACCCTCAACAAACAACACAAGGAACTAATGCAGATCAAGCTGCCTCCATCTCTCAAACTGATAATTCATAGGATGCTACTCCGCTGATGGCCACTCATTACGCCTATGGAGCAACTCAGGAGATGAATGTGCCATCAGAACTTGATGCTCATGGGTGGTTCACCGACTCAGGTGCTTCACATTACCTCACATCTTACTCTGATCTTCTACAGTCCAGTAACTCGTATAATTTTATTCCACACTAATGCCACACACCACACTGACATTTAGTGATATTCTTCTTGTCCCTCAAATTACAAGGAACTTGCTACCTGTCTCTCAATTCTCTAGGGATAACAATGCATTCTTTGAATTCCACCCTAATTGCTTCTATGTTAAATCCCATATATCTAAGGCTGTACTTCTCAAAGGTACTCGTGACTCACATGGCTTGTACATATTTTCTCCCCTAAAGGCAGCTGTATCAAAATCGCAGGCCCTAGATGGTCATCAGCCTCTCTATGCAATGGTGAATAATGTTGTCCAAAGCACAACTGGTACAAGTTCTCTCATGTCTATGTGGAAATGTCGACTTGGCCATGCCCATACTGAGGCAGTTAGGTCTATTTTACATGCTTGTAACATTTCAGTCCCTTCTAAAAGATCTATTGATTTCTGCAATTCATGTTGTATTGGAAAGTCACACAAACTTTTTGCACCTATGTCACACACAATTTACTATAAACCTTTTGAATTAATTCACACAGATTTATGTGGACCATCTCTAAGACCATCTACTGGTGGCTATAGATATTACATTGCTTTTATGGACACATTCACTAAATACACATGGATTTATTTTCTGCATAATAAGGCTGACTCTCTTAAGGCATTCAAGGTATTTCATGCTCATGTTAAAACTCAGTACCATGCTAACATACAGTCTGTACAATCTGACTATGGGGGAGAATACATACCTTTTACAAACTACCTAACTGAGTTAGGTATTACACATAGACTAACATGCCCATACACCTCCCATCAAAATGGGACAGTGGAAAGGAAGTACAGACACATTGTTGAAATGGGGTTAACTTTAATAGATCATGCCTCCATCCCTCTTCTCAGCAGTCACATCCTACTGCTTCCCCCTTTAAACCAATGGACAGTACCTCTTATACAATGTCTTAATCGCCCTTTGATCCCAAACAAGTTATATCTGCTTAGTCTTCCCAATCTCTCTCCTTACATAGTCAAAACCCCCCTCTCCCCACTGTCACAAACAATCATCCTATGTTAACAAGAGGAAAAACAGGTCATTCCAAACCCAAAGCCTTTGTAGCTCACATTGGGCCCTCTTCTGTTAAAGAGGCTATTTCTAATCCTCAGTGGCTAGCTGCTATGGAAAGTGAATACAAGGCTTTCCTCTCTAACAACACCTGGACTCTAACTACTCTTCCTCCTCATAGAAAGGCTGTAGGTTGTAAATGGGTATTTAAAGTTAAGGAAAATGCAGATGGCAGTCTCAACAAACTCAAAGCAAGGTTGGTGGCTAAAGGCTACCTTCAACAACAAGGCTTTGACTATAGTGAAACCTTCTCCCCTGTGGTTAAATCCACTACCATCAGAATTCTTCTTACTCTTGCCATCACCCATAAATGGGAACTCCAACAAATTGACATCAATAACGCCTTCCTCAACGGAGACTTACAAGAAGAAGTCTTCATGCAACAACCTCCAGGGTTTATTTCTACTGATAAAACCTTAGTTTGTAAACTCAACAAAAGCTCTGTATGGGTTAAAACATGCCCCTCGAGCTTGGTATGAAAAACTTGCTCAAGCTCTTCTTCAGTTTGGTTTTAATCATAGTAGGTGTGATCATTCCCTCTTCATCTATTCTTCTCAGGGTATTCACATGTATGCCCTAGTCTATGTAGACGATTTGCTGACTGGCTCTTCTTCCAAACTTGTTCATGATCTCATATAAAAGCTACATGATAAGTTTGCTTTAAAACACTTAGGAGAACTAACTTACTTCCTAGGCATTGAAGTCTTGTATCAACCAAATGGGTCCTTATTACTCAATCAATCCAAGCATGTTCATGATCTCCTTATTAAAGCCCACATGCCAACTGCAAAAGGAGTGCCTACTCCTATGCTGAGTACCTGTAAACTCAGTAGAAATGTAACTCTGATATATTTAAAGATCCAAGCCTGTATAGATCTATTGTTGGAGCCCTGTAGTATGTCACCTTAACTAGGCCAGATATTGCGTTTTCTGTTAATAAAGCTTGCCAATTTACGTTTGTACCCTTGACAGTCACTGGCTTGCCGTAAAACTCATCCTGCAGTATCTTAGTGGAACTATTTCCCATGGACTCCTCCTTACACCTGCCTCTATGGATCACAAGCTTACTCTCCGTGTTTACAGCGATTCGGGCTGGGCAAGCGATCCAGACGACAGAGTTTCCACCTCAGGCTCTTGTGTCTTTCTTGGCCCTAACCTTGTTGCATGGAGCTCAAAAAAGCAGCCTCTTGTAGCCCATCAAGCACAAAAGCAGAATATCGCGGTTTAGCTCATTCTACCTCAAAGCTATTATGGATTGAATCCCTCTTAACAGAGTTACATGTCCCGTTTCTTCCTCCGACTCTATTCTGTCATAATGTTAGTGTTGTTTTCCTTTCACATAATCCCGTGCTTCATGCTCACACTAAACATGTTGAGCTGAACATTCATTTTGTTAGGGAGCGCGTTGTAGCACGTCAACTGCAGGTGAAACACATATCTGCTCATGCACAGATTGCAGACACCTTGACAAAACCGCTTGGGACGAGAACCTTCCAACTTTTCTGTGGCAAACTCAAAGTGATTTGTCTCAACCCCCCTTAAGTTTGTGGGGGAGTAATAGAGTATATAAAGTAGAAATATGTAAATACAGTATGATGGAAAAAGTAGAGTCAGTTAAGATAATGCAACTGACTCACTATATAAGTAAGGGACATTTGTAACAGAATTGATGATGAAAAATATACACTGAGTGACTGAATTCCAATATTATTGATAAAACAAATATTAATTTTAGATGACACGTAGTTATTCCTTAATACCACATAGACCATGCAACAACATCAATTTGCCACAATTATCATAAAAATTGACATCTGGTTGAAATGAGAGACGGAAAAATCGAAATAAAAGAACTAAAAAAATTAGTTTTTAAAACGGGAGAATACAAAATTACAAAATCAAAATGGGAGAGGGAGGAAGACTAAAATTGTATTTAAGTATTTTTTTATGATATGTTTTACTTTTTTTTATAAATGTTTTGTTTGCTTTGAACATGTTTTGATCGTGTTCTAATTATCAATGAATTTCTATTTCCATTTTTATTTTCTTAATGTTTTTCTCTTTACATGTTCTAATCTTATTTAATATTTTGGAAAATTAAAATAATTACCTTCTCAAATATCCTTATTTAACCTTTTTGTTTGTTGACAAGAAATGGAGAAAAATATTTTGTTTAGGGAGAAAGTATTTTAAATTTCCTTAAAAATATTTTAAAGAGATTTCCTATATTGAACAAAAATGTGATTTTCACATACTCTAGCATAATCTCACAGGGAACCTTTAAATGCTTCGATCCTCTCAATTTTTTATCTCTTAAAAACTAAAAAAAAAATTCATCAAAATACGTTAATTTTTTCATCATCGTGAAAAGGAAAAGTTTTAGAATAAAAGTAGTTTGAAGAACAATAACCTATAATTATACTTGTAATGATAATAAGGTGTAACTGAATAATTTTATTCTCTAATATTTGTTATATGTGTAAAAAATAATTTGAATAATATAAGGAATTTATAGTATGGTCGAGTGCATGAAAACAAGCTCGAAAGTTTTCTTATAGAACTAGAAGAAATACGATCAATTTCGTTTGAATACTTGAGAGTTGACTTTTGTCGATGGATATTCCAAGTTATAGAGATAAATGTACGAATTTGTGTTCCACCATTAATTTTAGCAATTTTGTTAAATGGTTGTTTATGATTATTTTTTCGTTTGTTTTATCTTTCCATGCATTTCTACTCGTCACTTATAAATAATCTTATTCAGTTATTCTAAACTCAAACATTAAACCTTCAAGCCATAACACATTTTTTCAAACTTTTTGCACAAAACATATATAATTTTTTTGAGTTTAATCTCTTTAACTAAACGAAAACTTGTAATCTGATTTACTAAATGTACACCGGCATACAAGAAAATTTCTAGATTTTAGTGAATGTGTATCTTAATTATAACATTTTATCCTCTTTGTAGATATTTGGATGTCTAGAATCTTCTTTTTTCATGAAAGGTATCATAATATTATCTAACTATCTTCCCCTAATCATATATCATGATTGTATTTGTTTTTAAGGTGGAGTCAGGGCCGATCCAAATAATTCAGAGATACTGTTATAATTCAAAAAATAAGTCTAAATTTAAAAAATATATATTATTTTATAATTAAAAATAATATACAGAAAATAAAATTATATATTAACCAAATAAAACATCAAAAAGCTTAAAATATTATTTAATAGTTAATCTTTATCTTTTTCACTATTCAAATTACTTTTCTATTCTAATTTCTAAATACTAAAACCATCAACGACAACACACAACTTAAAAACTAAAAGCTTTTCAAATCATTCTTCTATAAACAAATCTCTTTGCTATTCATTCAATCATTCCAACTTATAAAACTTAAAAGCTTCATTTTCTTTTAAACAAAATTAACAAAAGTAAAACACAGTCACACACAGACAGAGTGCAAAATTAACAAAACTAAAAGCTTCATTTTCTTTAACAAAACTAACTACTTCAATTCATCTTAATTTATTATTTGTGTTACTTTACTGTTTGAGAATAGAGAACTTTGTGTTGTTTTCAAAATGATGAAAAAACCTGAAACATGTTCTTGTTGCAAACTTGCAATTAATGAAAAGAAAAAGAACATGCCACACAAGAGAATAATGGCAACGCAGAACAATAATTAATAATAAAGAAGAAGAATAAAAATAAGGAAGGAGGCATCTAGAGAGAGAGTGTGTCTCTTGTTCTGCATAAAGGTCAAATGCATAACCATTGTGAAAAAACTTTTTTTAATGGACCAATGTGTGTTAAGAATACTTATTTTTGACAGCATAATTATTGACAATATATTTATCCCATTTGTGTCTTGTCAATGTCAATAACTAATGAAATTTGTGTTTTTAGCTCTTCGGGTTGCCGAATATCAAACCTATACAACTTGTTCTAGATTTAGCCCAACATGTCCAATAGAATGTTGAGCTACTTACTGTTATTGCCGTAAAAAATATGTCATTCATATAACAAATATAACAAATGGGTAGTAGATGATGTCTCAATCTTAATTGGCATTAGTGCAACAATTAAACTCGACAGCTTTATTCTTGTAATAATGTAATTATCATAAGTCATTGATGTTGGCATGATGTGAACTATCTAGCTACTAATATGGGCTCATTATCGTTCCATCAAGCATCCAAAAGGAGATGATATAATTGCTTATATTTAGGGTCAGCTTGGATTAATTTATTTGAGATTGTCTTATGCTATAAATGATAGATCTAATAGAATCGGATGGACATAAATTATAGGATATCATTATATTATAGAATAATCAATAGTAATAGAAATCACGTACCTTGTAAGATTAGAGAGATTGTCCACGGATAGAGTGATTATGAAAAGATTACTATTCTCATTGTCGTTTAGGGTTTTCACTGTGTGTTAATCGTCTAATGGGACAACACTTAAATAAGTAAACGACTGAGTGCATGAACCTCTCATTGAGCTTAACTGAATGGTCCAACCCATCACGGTCCCTTCAGAGATAAAAGCTCAATCTGATAATTCATCAATAAGTGCTTAACAACAATAGACCATAATTAATATTAATAATTTCTAATAATTGATTATTGTTAATCTATGATTGATTAATTAAATAATTAATCCAACAATAAATTGAGATAATATTTTAGAAAAATTTATTAAAACAATTTATACTGAATCATACTTTGAGATCTTTTGGGTCACTATGAACGAGTCATACTTGCGTGGCTGCAGTTTGCTGTAAATACTAACTGGAAACATATTCTTACGCATAAACACCATCACATCGTCTCTTATATTAAAAGATTTAATTTTTTGGCGTTTATCTCTCATATGAGACAAATCGTTTGGTACTAATCTACAAATTTCAGTGACACCAGATTCTCTATACTGCCAATTAATAGAGGCATCAACAAGGCATAAGCCTTCATCTCAATATTCGCCAATACAGGTCATCTCAACGAGCATAAGCTCCATCTCAAAATGAAATGTATGCGACACAATCATGAATGTAATAACAACGTCACAATTAACAACATCTCAATACAACATCATCGTTGGCCAAAGGCCTACATCTCAAAAGCATCTCAACATCTCCTCATCAACAATCTCATATCATCATAATAATTCATCAAACATCTTATATCATTCATAATAATTCATCAAACATCATTTATTCATCAAACACAATCTCATTAATAACATCTCATCAACAACTCAGTTGTACATTAATACGACAATAATTCACACCGCTATTCTGTAATCTTACATCATTACTATCATTACTCCTACTGTTACAAATCAAACAACAGCCTATAAGCATTTCATCCTCATCATTCTGCATAAAAACCAACATAACGATCAACACGGGAACTAACTCTAAATCCTAAATTGGCTACTAAGATTACACTTCCTATTCTTCATTTTAATCCTTTAGAATAAAGTTCATCCCGTTAGCTATTCAACGCTTCGAACGACATCTCAAACGGCATCCTAAAACTCAAGTTACAACATTTACAAACTGATTCTGCCAAAAACCAGGCAACATGGGTCGACGCATAACTCCTTGAATTGACGCGTACTGCACCAAACTCACAACATGAGTCGACGCATCCTCTCTTGGATCGATGCGTACTGCACTAAATTTGCAACATGAGTCGACGCATCCTCTCTTGGATCGACTCATACTGAGTCTTACACACAACATATATCGACACATGCTCCTATGGATCGACTCATCCTGAGTCTAAAACCACTCATGTGTCGACGCAAAACCTCTTCGTGTCGGCTCATACTAAGTCTCAAAACCTTCTTGTATCGACACATAACATTTAAGGTCGACGCATCCTGTTACATCCTACATAATTTCTGCGATTTTCTCTGCGTTTTCACTACGGGTTTCATATTTTAAGCCTTAAAACTTAATCGAATCATGGTTAATCATCACTTACAATTATCCTATAATTCTACATCGATTAAACAACATCGGGACATCATTATTCATCTAGAATTCATCAATTTCATCATACAACATCATATACATTCAATTCATGAACAAGACAGCAATCACCTCTAACCCCACATACCAATTATCATGAACCCAATTATAGAGTCAGAACCCCACTCTTACCTTGGATTGAAGGTCGCTCTATAATCTTCCGGTTGAAACCTCGTTCTGCCATTTTCCTCCTTTTCCAGCAGCTACACGTTCTTCTTCTCAATCCTTATTCTTCTACTGCCTCCTCTTTTCTATTCTTTCTAACAACAATAAAATAACCTATTATTCTCTTTACTCTTTATTGGGCTCAAAACTAATACACCCCCTTTATTACTTCTATTCCTTAAAAATAAGCTCACATCAATAATATTATACTTCTAATATTATTTCACCACTTAATAAAATAATTAAATCCAATTAATCACAACACATCTTCTCAAATATTCCAAAAATAATTTAATTAAATAATTAATTAAATTATGGCCGTTACAT